TGATTACAAAATAATGTTTTCAGTTTACAACTCGCAGTGCCGTACGAACGATAGATTGCCGTTAATTATTGCCAGTATCGCCTTGTACATAGCGTTGAAAATGAGCCTATTCTTATTCTTATTCTTATTCTATCTTGAGAGCTGATCTGATGAGAGCTTCATCCCATTGTTACTATCCCAGTTCGCAGTGGGTTCTCTAGAGAGGCAGGAATCTGTATCAGCTCGATTAGGCCATCTTGTCTTGCGCGGGCAGTTGCGGACGATTTATCTAGTTCTCGCTTGTACTATTATTCAGTGTTTTGTCTTGCTCGTGCCCCGCGCGGTGCCATTGCTTACCACGCAGGGATCGGGCCCACTTAGCTGCACCACACCCTGTTTTTAAATCACTCTCTTCACTGTAACGTGGGGATCGACTGTCGGGCCAGTGATCCGCCACAAAGTTATTGCTTCATATTTGACGGGCGTTAAATAATGGGGCACTGAAAGATATCCCTCTTTGATAAAAACCAGCATGACACTTTCTGGAGGATTCTTAATGACGATTTGCACTCAGTGATAATCACGCAAGTGCACTTGCAATTCATTAACAGACAAGTAACGTCGCCGGTGAACTGGTAGATTTTCCTTCGTTTTCATCAGATTTGGATTTCTTTAAGACGGTTTCCGAACGAGACCACCCACAATAGAAACGACCAGTGAATTCTCTGCGCCTACCACAACAGCACAAACATTCTTCAGCAGAACACAAACGCAGCAACAACCGCAGCAAGTGTAGGTTTTTCTATTCCGATTTTTTCTCGGCGTCTTACAGCCACCGAAACTATCTAGTAGAGCGTAACAGTTTCGACTAATGCCGCTAACTGGATGGTAGCAACTTGCAAATATCAGTAACAAACGAGGTTCTTAGACGTCCAGCTTGTCATTGGTCGATATTGGGAACATTCACGGTGATAAACTGGTGTTAAGCATACTAATGCGGGGTGCATTCCAAAAACGGTTCTAATCTTTCTTAGATATTCCATTGCTGGGCGGAGGGGGTGTAGTGGCAAGTGGCGCACTATCTCACACGCACGGTCAGGGGTTCAAACCCGGGATCGATTTCCGCAAAGGCCAACCAAGCCTCCCATTTCTCCGGGGTCGGTGAATTGGTACCAGACTTGTCTGGGAGGATAAAAGCACTGACTTGTACATCGGCTGACCACCGCCATTCATTTTATAGATCACATACGCACTCATTATGCCACTACGATTCTGAATGGAAGTCGAGTGCGGGGGTGCATCCCTCAGACGGGATTGATTAACGCCAAAAACTTTATCCTTTATCCATTGCTATGACTAAAAGCTCTGAAGAAGAAGTTCGCCATAATCGTATATGTTCACTTTACAGAACATTCTTCCGACCTGCAACGATGCGCCCACCATCCATCTTGAGGCGCCCTCAACAAACAACTTTCACTAGTCTAAATCCGACCAGGTTTGCTATGTAAATCCACCTATTTATAGTTGAAACCCATTGCCCATCTTGCATGCAAGGTAACATGATATATTTAAAAATTGAAGAAATCTTCAGAACAAGTAATGGAGCCTTTTCCATTCGAACCCCTACCGACGACCAGCGTACATCACCTGCAACTTCATGTAAGTCTTTATTTTCACAAAGATACTCAGAGGGAGTGAACGTAAGCTTTTATATACTAAGAGATAGGAATCTCTCGTCTTTCTCTTGACTCTTGCTAAGGTAGGAGTTGTGGAGGTTACTTTCATGTGTTTGTTGTTGATTCTTTGAATAAATATACGAAAAACAGTCTCTTCGTCTCTACTCTGGCAACCAACAATGAAAGAAGCTATTCGGATGTTCGCATCCTTCATAATCATTTCCCAGTGCATAGTGCGCTGTGTTAAAAAAAAGAGAAAAAGAATATTTTTCATCATTCAATATTCCGTATTTCAGTTTGCATTGATCGTGATGGAGCTGACCGCTGCCGTGACTGGGTGCCCTACTGCCGAAGCGAACGGTTTTTCGTTTATATGAGAACGTATTGTACTCGATCTTGTGGTTTTTGCTGATCTCCTCATTATGTGATAATAACTGCGAATACATCTACAATAAACTTTCGTTTTCATTTGTGAATGCAATGAAAAACAGGTTGCCTGTTTCATCTGGCTGGTGCATGCTACTCTGATGAGTGGGTTGTCATAAACAGTTCTCGCTAGTTTCGTTGACAAAATATGTCTGTGATTCTGATGCTGAAGTATACAAGTTCTCCATATCTTTGTGGATTTCATAGCCTCAAAAACTCAAGTATTGGGACTGCTGAAGGGAAGTTTTGCTGTCTGAAGTAACGACACGAATAGTATTTAGCACATAATTAAATATGCGTCATGTGTTGGATGAGGGAGTAATCAAGGAATGCTTAGCCCGTGTGTACCTACTTTACTAGATACATGTTGTACATGAAGCATACACTTTCTCATATATATATATATATATATATATATATATATATATACCAGTCGGATCGCCCAGCTGACGCCGGGCTCTCCTCCTTCTTATGTAATAGGAACATGTAGTTCCGAACCCTGGTTACTAGAAGTAGAACCGTGACAACGGCTGGCACAGTAATACACGAAACAAAAAAAAATTATCCGATACGCGGACAACAAAAAAAAAATACAAAGCGATAAACAACCAAATTAAAGAACAATGAACAACAATTATTAAAAAAAAAAGATGGGATCACTATGTTGCGCGGGGTCCAGTCCAGGCGATTGGGTCCTCAGGCCAAGTGGGGAGAGGCGCGGTTGGGGCTTGGGCTCCTCCGAGTTCCGCAGACGAGAATACAAAAATGCTCCTAGCCCTTTTTATATACTAATACTTCCCGCCGAAACTACGCCTC